TACACATATCAGGAACAACAAATACTGTAGCAAAGCCTACTGTGTAAATAAATACCCCTAACCCCTCACGATACTACTGCAGTGTATATTCCACTTCCAAGGAACTCATGTTAATTTACACCATATCCCTTCACAATAACGCTGTATGACATACGTCATAGCTCTGCACAATAACATGTATATATCCAGCACCTATCCTCAGAATATTGTCTCATAGACCATATTTATTATAGTAGTGTGCTCTGGTGTATCTTGCACTTCTCTCAGTAAAAGACACAAATATACCCCATGACTACCTTGCAAAAGATCCATGAGATACACCACATGCTTGCTGATATACCTGCTTCCTGCCACCCCACCCCTCCTTATTTTCATTAATACCTGCTGATATAGCCCAGTTTTAACTTGGTAACTTGGGTAATGTACTCCACACTAGTCTCTGTAAAGCTTCCTGATATAACCTACATGTCCCTCAATAACACTGTCATAGCGCATAGCTGCTCAGTAACACACTGTTACATCCCAGGCCCTCTCACATTAAGACTGTTACTTCTCACTCTTCCCAACGTACTCACATTACACTCTTGCGCCAATTTCATTTCATCTAAAGTCCAGCACTGTTTTGAGTGGGGAGAACGCGACCGCAAAGCCCAGAATCTGTCAGTCTTGTGCTAATGTGCTTTCAGAAAACAAACAACTCTCAAGTCATGAGGAAACAGAGCCTGTGAGAAGTGAAGATGAAAGTAAACTGCAGAAAGGTAACCTGCTGCATCATCAGGATGGAATGGACAGCTTAGAGATGCATGAACTCAACTCCAGAAAACCTCAGGAGAAAGGCAAGAAGAACTCAGGATCCAGGTGAAGAGTTTGTCCTGGTAAACTTGAGTCATTAATGGATTGAATAATGTCCTGCAGTAGGGGATGGATAAAACTATTTGTTAACTTCAAAAACTTTGTTGGGTGTTCTGTTTTTGCTTAATTCTTGACAATACTTTTCATGATGCATAAGATCATTGCCACAGAAGCGGTCCATTGTATCTACACAGGCTGTTTGAAAAAGATATTCAAGTTGTTCTATTTCCCTATTGTTTCCCTATATTCTTGCATTTTTGTGTTTGCGTTTTAAGCAAATTTTTTTGTAAGTTATAATTTCAGTGTAAAAAATGAATGGTGCGAAGTGAAGTATCAGTAGAATGATAAACATATACAGCAATGGAAGAGGGGATGAAGGAGGTTCTGTGAATTTTGGACTAAATACAGACAGTCACTGAGGGACAGTGGCAAAGGTGAGATTAGGAGTGAGTATTGGGTTTGCTCAACTTGATAAGGATGTTGAACGTAGAGTTTTAATTGACTGAATTTGGAAGGTCAATGTGAGAGTGTTCAGAAGTTGACGAGTGAAGTGAGCACAGTTTCAAGAAGAGAAGCAAAATGAAAACGAGTGAGATTAATTCACAGTGGCTGATGAAAGTTTTTTTTTTATACTCTACTCCTCTTGGTGTCAATCAAAGAAACCAAACAGGCCCGGGAAGCTACGTAAAAGTGTTCTGAGATTAGCATCACTGATCATTCTTTAGTTCAGAGGTGTTAGACTGCCTATGATGAAGAGGAAACATCTAGTTTATCAATAAATGTTTTAATATTTCTTTTGTTGCTGTTTAAATCACAGCTCAGTTATTCCAGCAATTGCCTTGTCAGCAATGGGAGATGGGACAGTGCAAACAGAGACTGAGGATCCGCAGGGTGAGTAAAGGAAGCAGCTTTTAGAAACAATGGTCACACCTTTGAAATTAATTGGCTGCTGCAAAGCTTCAGTTGACACCATCTCTCCCTGAATTTGTTTATCATGTAAGCAGAGCATTTGCAATAGATACTCCATCATTTACCCAGTCTTTCTTTAATCTTGATTGTGTGTAATGTGGGTATTGACTTTCTGAACCTAAAAAGAAAACTGTTGCAAATGCTAGAAATTGACTCAGTTGTGGGACAACATGACCTATGAAGTCATCTTTCAATCTTACAGCTTGTGAACAGAAGTAGGCCATTTGGCACACATCGGCCATTTGGCTCCTCCAGCCTGCTTTGCCATTCAATAAGATCATTGTTGATCTCTTGGTGTTTCAAATTTCATATTCCCACATACTCCCAATAATTTTTGGTTTCATTGCCTAACAAGAATCTATCTACCTTCCCTTGGAAATTTTCAATGACCCCACCTCCTCCTGAGACAATGTTCCAATATTGCATAACCCTGCAGGAGAAAAAGGTGTCATCTCTGTCCTAAAAAAGTGACCCATAATTTAAAACAGTGCCCCCTAATCCTGGTCTCACTTACAAGAGGAAACATCCTTTCCACATCCACTTTGTCAAGACTCCTTTGAAACTTGATAAAGTCACCCATCATGCTTCTGAACCATAGTTGAAACAAATTCAATTTGTCCAACTTATCCCGAGGAGACAACCTGATGGTTCCAGGTATCAATCTAGCAAACCTTTTCGGAAGTGTCTGCAATATATTTACGTCACATTTTCCAACATTATACTCCATCTGACAGACTTTTTTGTCCAATCACTCAACCTATCACTATCTGTTACAAACAGCATAGGGATTCTTTACAACATGTTTTCTGACCTATCTTTTATCATCTGCAAATTTTGTTACCTTGCCTTCCTTCCTTCAGGTAAGTCATTGATATAAATTGTAAAAAGTTGAGGCCCTAGAAGACTACTGTGGAACTCCACTCATTACATCTTGCCCATCAGATGAGGACCTGATTATGTATACACTCTATTTTCCGAGAGCCAGGCAATCATCTGTCCAAAATCAAACACAAACTTCTATATCTACCCCCAAGCATCTTTGAATAAACTAGTATAATATATACATAAACTATACATTCATTTTGGTAAAAAGCAATTGCTTTCATGTGCAACCCACTTTATGGCACTTGCTGAAATGCCTTATTTTTTATTCATTCACAAGGCAAGGGCATCGCTAGCTAGGCAGTATTTATTGCCCAGAGGGCATTTAAGAGTCAGCCACATTGTTGTGGGTCTGGAGTCACATGTAGGCCAGACCAGGTAAGGATGGCAGTTTGCTTCCCAAAAGGACATCAGTGAACCAGATGGGTTTTTCCTGACAATCAATTCACAGTCATCATTAGACCTTTAATTCCAGATTTTTTAAAAATTCAAATTCCACCATCTATCGTGGTGGGATTCAAACCCGGGTCCCAGAACATTAGCTGGGTTTCTGGATTGACAATCCAATGATAATACCACTAGGCCATTGCCTCCTAACAATCTCTCAAAGCTTGCACATCCACCATGCAACCCATTAATTTTATGGAACTCCTCACACCTCTGTCAGTCATATCAATATAGCTTTGACCTCTCTATAATCATTTGGAATTGCTCACACACTGTGCACATTCCATTTCAGCCAGGTAACAGCACACTGAGTGGGAAAGAGAGTTTGCCTTGTAACTTTTGTGCTAGCATATTTTTCAGTGGCTGAGCAAACCTACTTCAGTAAAGGAACAGTCCCATTGAGAAGTGAAGGAGAAAGTAAACTGCAGAAAAGTGACCAGCTGCATGATCAGGAAGGAACTAAAAGTCCAGAGCTACATGAACTGAATTCCAGGAAACCTCAGGAAAAAGCCAGGAAGGACTCCGGACCCAGGTGAGAAGCTGTTCTGGAAAATATGATCAGTTGTGTTTCGATGAATTCTGTGTTGAAGTAACAGATCCGTTATTTATTAACTTGCAAACACATGTGATATAGCCCTTTTTTGACACCATTTTAGTTGACAGTTGCTTTCACAATATGAATGAATTGTCTTATAAAGATAGAAGCTGCTTGTCCCATTCTGTCTGTGCTGACTTTGTGAAAGTGCTGACCAATTCATGCTTTCCTGACAGCTTTAGTGTTTCAAGTGTCTATCCCACTCTGTTTTAGAAGTTCTTCAGATGGTATGATTTAAAAGAGCAATGGATGTGTGCAGCTCTGTCAGGGGTGGGGGCATGACATGTAAAGACGGCTTGAAATTTGGTTTCCAGGCTGTTCAGCCATTGGTAGTTGTTTCTCAACCTTCTGTGGAGGAAAGTACATCATTTTCACTACCTACATTCCTTCTGCACGGCCATCACTGTCTGCTATTAGCCTTGTAGAATTGGTGAAGAAGAGGCAGTGGTTGAGAGCCTGGATGTACAAGTGTAATAATCAGTAAGGCTTTGCTTCAAGGAAAAGCTGAGATCTGAAAAGTGATGGACAAACTCTACAGGTTTGACAGCATCTGAGTGAGAAACTGAATTGACATTTCTAAACATTGTTTCTATCTCCACAGATTTTGCCAGAATGATGAGTTTCTCCAACACTTCACTTTTATTTCAGTGTATCCTTCAATTACTTTCCTAATGATGTGTATGATAAGAATTTGGTTAGTTGCCTCCACACTGATTAACGTCCAGTTATATATTAGAAAAGTCGAAGCTGTTGTTTTGGACACAATTTAACTTCATTTCTAGCCACCAATTCCATTATGCCTGAACCTGGTAACAATCTCAGATTATGTCTTCATGATTGTACCATTATTAAAACTGCATATTTCCACCTCCAATGACATTGCTCTGACTTCATTTTTGTCTCAATTCATCTGCTATGGAAACTCTTATTCATGCTTTTGATGTCTAGACTCGATTTATTCCAATGCATTCTTGGCTGGTCTTACAATTCTACCTTCTGTAACTTTGATGCCATCCAAAATTCTGCTGCATTTATTTTAACTAGATAAGTTAGCAAGACTTGTTCCTTATCATCTCTATCCTCACTGAGCTACTTTAACTCTCAGTCAAGCAGACTCTTGATTTTAAAATTCTCATTTTCGTGTTCAGATTTATCCTCACCCTACCCTTCCTACATCTATAAAAACCTCCAACCTCATGATTCTACGATTTATCTTCTCCGAATCTGGGCTCTTGTAATTCTGGCTTGTGAAGCTGTGCCTTCAGTTGCCTAGACTCCAAGATCTAGAATTCCCTCCTTACGTTTCTTGATGTCTCTCAATTGCTTTCTTCCTTCAAGACTTCCTTAAAACCTGCCTCTTTACTAAGCTTTTGATCATTTCACCTAATATCTCTTTATGTGGCTGTGTGTTTTGTTTTGTTTTGCAGTGCTCCTGTGAAGTGCTTTTGGGTGCTTTATTATGTTAAAGGTGCAAAATAACTCAAAGTTGTTGTTGCTTTTTGAAACAGTGGCTCAGCATGTAGCATCACAACTTGTAGACCGACATGAAAGCTGGCATTGTCAATCCAGAGTCTTTTTCAGCTTTTACCAACTTGGCACTATTTGAAATCCACTTTTGTCACTTTTTCATAATTTCCTGTTTGTAGCCACTCATATTCACAAATACTCAATATTATCTATGATGGCACTCTTCCTCCTCAGTTGTGTTTCCCTGGTACTAGTGAACTGTGGACAATCATTTCCTTTGGAGGGAAGTAGAGGAATTTTGGATTTTTGAATGACATGGAATTTCTGTCATATGAGCACTTGCATACCATAAAGATGAATGATTGAAAAGAAGAATCATTCTATTTAGTGTCATTAACGGTGAGATGAACCTCTTGAAGCAGGCAATGTTACTTACTAGAGTGGTATTGACTGTTAGTAGTACATTGAGTAGGAGTTTCCCTGACCTTGAGGTACTACCAGAGAATTGGTATGATTTGGTTGTGAGGCCTTCAAGAGCTGTTTTGAGTGGTAGAGAATGTGGATTGGAAAGAATGAATTGGCTTAGTTCCTTTTTGAATAGTGTGGCAGGTGTTTAGGTGGGAGAGATTTCATTAAAAGCTCCTGCCATCCCCAGACATGTTGAATAAATCTAAGAACTCCTGTCTTCAATGCCTGGGTCTATCCAGTCTAGCCCTCAACGCAGCCCAGCAACACTCCCCTAATGCATCATGAATTTGGAAAGCTGATGCTGCTGCTAATTCATTCCCTCCCCCACAGGTGCAGCTCCTTCGAATACCTTGCATACTTCATTTCTGAAATGTCCTCATTCCCAACCCCCTTCAACTGCTGGCTTCTTTATAGAGGCTATAGCTAAACTGAACCTCCTTTACTGCTCCAAACTAGACCTTCCTTTTTAATGAAAGCGGTAGGAGGAGAGGTCATTGAGTGAACAGCAGTATCATATGAATACGTGACTTTGAGAGAAAAACCTCTACCATTCCATCTGCTCGGGGAACCTGCTAAATGTTATATTCATCTTTTGCTTTCATAACTTGGTTGATTAGAACATAATATGGGAAATTGAGAGGATATGCACTTTGATAGGAAGAATAGAGGAGCGAAATATTATTTAAGTACAAAAAGCTGCAGAAAGCTACACCATGAAGGAATTTAAGAGTCACTGTTGTAAATTACAAAAAAACTAGCATACAGGTTCAGCAGGTAATAGGGAAGACAGATGAATGTGGGCCTTCATTTCAAATGGAATTGAATGTATAACAAGGTAAGAAATAGGGAGAGAGTGCAGCTAAACACATGGCTACAGGACTGTTGTAGGAGGGAGGGCTTCCATTATGTGGATAATTGGAGCACATTCTGGGGAAGGTGGGACCTGTACAGTAAGGATGGGTTGCACCTGAAACGGAAGGGCACAAACATCTTGGGAGGGAGGTTTGCTTGAGCTATACGGGATGGTTTAAACTAGATTGGCAGGGGGTGGGGAACCGGATTTGTAATTCAGAGGATGAGGTATTCAGCCTTCCAACAGACACAACAGAGAGTGAGGTTGTTAATAAACAAATGCGGTCGATGGAGGTAATTGTGAACACAGAGACGGTTTGAAGTGTGTATACTTCAATGCTAGAAGTATCAGAAATAAGGCGGATGAACTTAGAGCATGGGTCAGTAAATGGAACTACGATGTTGCGGCCATTACAGAAACTTGGGTAACTCAGGGACAGGAATGGTTGTTGGAAGTTCCGGGATTTAGATGCTTTGGAAGAAATAGGGAGAGTGGTAAAAGAGGCGGGGGAGTGGCATTGCTAGTCAGGACTAGCATAGCAGTAACTGAAAGGCCGTTCGAGAATGATATGTCTACAGAGTCAGCTTGGGTTGAGGTCAGGAACAAAAAAGGAGCAGTCACTTTGTTGGGGGTTTTTTATAGGCCCCCTAATAGTTGCAGAGAAGTGGAGGAGCGGATTGGGAGGCAGATACTGGAAAGGTGCAGAAGTCACAGGGTTGTAGTCATGGGTGACTTCAACTTTCCAAATATTAATTGGAAACATTTTAGTTGTAATAGTTTAGATGGAACGGATTTTGTCCAGTGTGTTCAGGAAGGATTCCTGACACAGTATGTAGATAGACCAACACGAAGTGAGGCCACTTTGGATTTGGTGCTTGGCAATGAACCGGTCCAAGTGTTAGACCTATCAGTAGGAGAGCATTTTGATGGTAGCGATCATAACTCTGTTACTTTTACAATAGCCATGGAAAAGGATAGGTACATAGAGCAGGGTAATTATAACTTATAATTGGGGGAAGGGTAATTGTAATTCTGTTAGGCAAGAACTGGGTAACATAAAATGGGAACAGATGCTTTCAGGGAAGAGCACTATGGAAATGTGGAGATTGGTGAAGGAATGCATACTGCGTGTGCTCGATATGTTTGTCCCTAGCAGGCAGGGAAGATGCGGTCAAGTGAGGGAGCCTTGGTTCTCAAGAGAGGTCGAATGACTAGTTAAGAGGAAGAAGGAAGCTGATATAAGGTTCAGGAAACAAGGATCGGAAAAGGTTCTAGAGGCTTACAAGTTAGCCAGAAAGGAGCTGAAGAAAGTGCTTAGGAGAGCTATAAGGGGGCATGAGAAAACCTTGGCAGATAGGATCAAGGAAAACTCCAAGGCTTTTTACACGTACGTGAGGAATAAGAGAATGACCAGAGAAAGGATAGGGATGATCAAGGATTGTAAAGGGAATTTGTGCATGGACCCTAAAGAGATAGGAGAGGTCCTTAATGAATACTTTTCTTCGGTATTCACAACTGAGAGGGACCTAGTTGTAGGGGAGGACAGTGTGAAACAGGCTGGTATGCTAGAGGGGATCAGTGTTAGTAAGGAAGATGTACTAGGAATTTTGAGGAAGTTGAAGGTAGATAAGTCCCCCGGGCCTGATGGGATTTATCCAAGGATTCTATGGGAAGCGAGGGAAGAGATTGCAGGGCCTTTGGCAATTATCTTTTCGTCCTCACTGTCCACGGGTATAGTGTCGGAAGATTGGAGAGTGGCAAACATCATTCCCTTGTTCAAAAAAGAGGATAGGGATAACCCCGGAAATTACAGGCCAGTTAGTCTTACTTCAGTGGTGGGCAAATTATTGGAAAGGGCTCTGAGAGATAAGATTTATGATCACTTGGATAGGCACACTTTGATTCGTGATAGTCAGCATGGATTTGTGAGGGGCAGATCATGCCTCACAAACGTTATTGAATTCTTTGAAGAGGTGACCAAACACGTGGATGAAGGTAGAGCAATGGATGTGGTATACATGGATTTAAGTAATACGTTTGTTAAGGTTCCCCATGGTAGGCTCATGCAGAAAGTAAGGAGGCATGGGATAGGGGGAAATGTGGCAGATTGGATTCAGAATTAGCTGACCCTTAGAAGACAAAGGGTGGT